AGGAGCCAGTGGTCTCACTGTGCTTGTCATCAGAGGGTTCCCATTGCTCCCAGTCCCATGCAATTCAGTCCCCACACCGAGCCCTGAGGAATGCAAGACCTTACAGAGATGCTCATTATTCGGTCCTTTACTGCTCTGGAGGATGGTGTATGCCTCTGGTCTCTCCTTACATTCTCCTACCTGGGGAGTTTTTCTAAAATGCAGTGTCCATGAGGTAGGTGACTGCTCTTCTACAAAATATTCCATAGCTCCCCACTAACTACCACTAAATCATACATGAACTGATCACTTTTGAGTTTAGAGTCTTTGTAGTGGGATGAGCACACTTTTGTGGTGGGATGATGGATGGATGGATGATGGGTGGGTGGATGAGTGAGTTGGTAGATAGGTGGATGGGCAGACAGACAGGTGAATGGATAGGTACATATATGAATATATGGGTGGACAGGTGAACGGACAGGTGGGTGGACAGCTAAGTGAATAAACAGATGGAAATATGGAAGGACTGATGGAAGGAGGGATGGAAGAATAAAAAGACTTCCATGGCATTTAGGGCTCTACTAAGCCCTGCGCTAAGACTGACTAAAAAGACACTATCCCTGCCCACTAAATGTTCCATTAGTGATAATAACAATGAGATCAATCCAAGTGACAAGAACAGATGAACATAAAGTGATTCCAGAAAAAAAAAAAAAAAACAGAAGCAAGTGACCTTCTAGCAAGAAGAAAACAGACAAAAACCAGATAGTTTTATAACAGTGGCCCCCAAAATTGAGATTATTAATTTGCGGGGCCTGAGTAACCTTCCATTGGGGAGGAATTGTCATGGCAACTGGTTGTGGTCATCACGACAGGCAGAATGTCCCACCCTGATGCCCACTGACCAGCTCCAGCCTGTGACTAAAGCACGCAGGCATAGTAGTGCAGGGCCAGATGACCAGGAGTCAGACGCCGGGCTGAGGACATTGATAGCAGGGACATTTGTGGGGCCGCATCAGAGCCTGGGCGAAGGGGATGGCAGCAGGAGCATGCAGCCTTCTGTGCTCTGAGCTCACCAACACGGGCAGACCCCAGGACCACGCCCCCCACCCCACCTTGGGAGTCGTGAAGACCACGCTGGCCACTGGCGAGCCCCTGCTGGCCCTGGAGGAGACCCAGATGCCCTCAACCTCCCCTTTGTTGCTCTAATCCCCCATGAGCCCTGACAATCAGAAGGTCACAGAAGGGTCATCTGAGGTCAAACCCCCATCAGCAGGTGGGAGAGACTCTCTTATGGCTTCCTCAGGCCCTTTACTCACGTCCAACAATGCACACCGTCAGAAAAGGTCATGCTCTGGGCAGAGGGGCTACTCAGAGTTAGAGCCAAGAGGCAGCGACATCATCCTTCCCACTCAATGCAGAAACCCACCGGGGGCTTAGGGCGCAGGGGCACAAGACCCAACACGTATGGAGGACTTCCCTTTGCCAAGAGCTATGCCCAGGGCTGCAAATGGGAACCCTGGTCATTCCTCATTCACTCTTTTGGCTGTTTGCCGTGTGCCTACTATGCGCCCCGCACTGTGGGATGCTGAGCCCCCAGCAGAAGGTGAGGCTGCAGGGCCCCGGCTGCAGAGAAGACAGAACCACCTGTTACAGCATTTGTTGTTTAAGTGCTGCAAGCGGGGAGTCCAATGCCTTGGGAACAGGTAACAGAGGGACAACAGGCAGGATGTGGCCTTTCTAAAGAAAGGACAGTTGTATGAGCTCTGAAATGTACATGAAAAATAAACCATGCAAAATGAGGGGACAGCCAAGGCAGCACGGCAGCAGGTGCGAGCCCCGCCCCCTGCCACAGTGGCTCAGGGGAGAGAAGGAGACACCAGTGGGACAGAGGGCTGGCAGTGGCAAGGGGGCAAGATGAGGGGTCATGCGCAGCCCTGGAGGCAGAAGAACTTGGGCCTTCATCCTGGGACCGGAGTACAACTGTACCTGTCTGTTCTGTGCAGGGCTTCCCAAGGGGCAGTCCCTACCAGCAACAGCATCACCTGGGAACTGGTTAGAAATGTAGATTCTCCAGCCCAGCCCAGAGCTGCTCAATCAGACACTCTGGGGATGGGACCCAGCTACTGTGTAGCACCTAATTTAAAAGATTAGCTTGTCTTATGCTAAAGTATTGCAAAATCAACCCCAAAGGATGTGCTAGACCTCATTTACATTTCTCATTCCCGCCCCCTTTTCTTTTTCTGAAAAGGGTTCCAGCCTCCCTGAGCAGTCTGCAGAGTTCTCTCAACCCCCCACCTCCCATCTTTGTTTCCTATTCCTTGTGTGCTTACTAATCGCTTAATTTGGCCTGGCATTTTGGACACAAATTAGAGGAGGACTATTATGGCAAGCCTTTAAGAGAAAATCTGAAAGTCTTCAGGAAATGAAAGATAACCATGAAAAATAAGACATCTGGGCAAAGTTTAAAAGGAGCGGCCGGCTGGGCATGCTCAGCCTTGAGTGAGTATCACCGTGGGGAGCCGCGGTGACAGTTTTCTAATATATCAGGAATGCACGCAGGAGAAAGGGATCCGTTTTTCCACTCATCAGCCAGAGCAGAACGAGCAGGACCGTCTTAGGTTTCAGCAGGGAAAACATATGTCATGTGTTTGAGCCATAGCACGGGAGGAGCTGCCAAGAGGGCCGGTGAGATCATCCTCACCAGAGGCGCTCGCAATGAGATCACAGCGGCCCGGGTCGCTGTCCGGCAGGGTGCCCGGAGCACGCAAGGTCTGAGCACCCGCCAGCTTCTGTGTGGGGTCTCCCCATTGCCTGGCAACCCCAATGCCTGGCAAGGTCTGGATGGGCAGGGCAGGTGCCAATTCCTGGTGACCGTGGTTTGCTACAGACGCCCAGGAATCCAAAGGGCACTATGCACCTCTACACAACATTTCAGAGTGCCTTGCTACCTGGAGGCTGGGATTCCAGGTGCTTGCTTCATGGGAAAGCACATGATAGTCAACTCCTCTCTTCCCAGCAATGGCAGCAGCAGCAGCAGTAACAACAAACATCACTTCCGGTTACAGCTCCGAGCTACCGCGCATTTTTTCTGTGCCAGCACTGCACACCCATCCCCTCACTCAGGCCTCAGCACCATCGTAAGGCCCATTTTACAGATGAAGAAACTGAGGCTTAGAAGAGGCTAATGACCTGCCCACAGTCCCAGTGCTGCTCACGTGTGGGATGAGACTTGAGCCCAGGGTTTTCTGACTTCAGAGCATATGATCATGATCATGCCTCCATGTTTTTCATACATTTTTAATTTTTTTCTGTTGATACATTCGAGACCATGAAGAACATGCCTCTATGTTGCCAGGAATGAAGCATGCACATCAGATGCTCAAGAAGGAATTGATGCAAATGTGGCCCCCAAGACCCTCTGGGGCCGGCAGGGGCTGGCCCTTGACAATGTTCAGCAGGAAGGAGACCAGGAGCCTTTTAAAAATCACCCACTGTCTCCTCTCCCAATCCCCACCCCCACACTGCTCCAGATCTGGTGACATTTAAAACCAAGGCCCTCCTGGAAGGTCTCGCCACTGCCCTGTTGGCACCACCCACGCCTTGCCCTGCACACCTCCACCACGGACTCAGTGAGTGTGCCCGGCTGCTGGCTGCATAGATGTCCTTCACACACCATCACCCATTCCCAAACTCTAAGAGCACAGGGTTCCAGGCAGCACGCCCAGCCCCTTACCCATGCACATCTTTTATAGGTGCCCAGAAATCTCCCCAGACGGCCCCTCGGCCAGCACCGTTTGCAGGCCACTGCAATTGGAGGGGACATTGTGCAGAGACTGCTGTCACAGCCGCAGATAACCCTGGGTCACGGTGTTTATTCCAGCTTCTTGTTGAGGCAATTCTAGGCTCCAACTCTAGGCTTTTCTCTTTTCGCCTCTTTCTGGGGTCCTGAATATGGCTGAAATTATTTCTATTCCAGACTTGAGAACCGGTTTTCCTCGGCACTTGGATGCTGTCTATGCCAGTGCCTTCACCGCAAGGCTCTCTGGGGCCTCATGGGTCAGATGGTCTAGCTAAGGGAGCAGCTTGACATGGGACTGCAGACCTGAACGCCCTCCCCACTCTGCTGAAAGAGCCACCGCAAAACAAACACAGGAACCAGGTGGGGCCAGGGGCAGGCACGAGGTCGCAGGCTCAGGACTGAGCACACAAATGGACGGTGTCACAGCTGTGCCCCTCTGGGGAAGACCACCGCAAGGGGAAGCTCGGGCCAGGGCAGGCTGCCCGTGAAGCATGGCAGACCCAGTAGGAGCCAGCCAAGACCGATTTTCCTGCTATTCAGACAACTGCGGGCTGATGTCAGGCCTGGAGTCAGGTGAATGAAATTTATTCCTTCTTGATGGAAAAGCTGGACTCAAGCCACAAACATATATTCCTAGGAAGTCTTAATTTTTCTTCCAGCTTCACCAGGCTCAGCGGAGAGGGCCCCGGGAACAAACAGGGTGGAGCCCTGGGGAGGAGAAGGAGGCCCTTCCAGAGCTTGCCCTCCAGGCGGCTCTTTCCAAACCACTGCGGGGAGGGTGGGGGAAGAGGGCAGGGATGGGGATGGCTTCTGGAGGTCTAGCCTTGTGGACTCCGACCTGCAGTGGTCAGTGTCACGCCCCGAACAGCCATGTAAGAACCCAGATGAGGCATGTGATACAAGCCAGCTCTGTTCCAGCAAATGAGTTTGCTCTGAACAACCCATTCTCCCTGCACCAACTTTTGTGGCTGTGTTACCACACGCCCATCCTCCAGCACCGTGATTCACGCACACATCAGGGATGCAGAAGGCTGGGATCTCATCCTAAGGGTGCAGAAATGTCCCCTGCATATGGTCCCCTGGCAGTCCCAGCACCTACCCGGTAACCCTGGCCATATACACCACCTGAGGCTCAGAAGCTCAGCTCCTGGAACTGTTACCCGTCCCTAGCTCATGCAGAGAATTGACAGTGACGTGAATTAAGATCAGAGTCAACTACCTTCATGGCACCCAAAGCTTGGAAAGTCAAAGCTAATCTTGAAGGGGTCAGCGCAGCCAGCATCGCGTTGAATCTTGCGCTCTTGTTCTTGATAGGAGAATGGTACTGTCCATCTGGAGCCACAGAACCGAACCTGTGGAAAAGAGGGGTGGGGGCTAGCAAAAGTCGGGGAGCTCCCACGTGCACACACAGGGAAGCACACAGATGTCCCCACCCTGGAACCTCCACCATGAGACAGAAAGCAGAGTAAGAGTGGGAGTCCAGGTGCCTCCCCAGGAGATGCTGAGAAAGGCACTGGCCCACTTTTTCTTTTTCTTTTTTTTTTTTCTTTTTTTTTATTTTTTGAACTTCAAGAGAAGTAAAAGGCCCACTTTTTAAAACTGAGATATAATTCACATCCAATAAAATTCACCCCTTTATAGTATATAATTCAACAGATTTTGGTGTAGTCGCAAACTTGTACAACCATCACCCCATACCATTACCAGTCACGCCGCATTCTCCCCACTCTCCAGCCCCTGGCAACCATAATCTACAACCTCTGTGGATTTGCCTATTCTGGACAAGTCACATAGGGGGACTTGTGGTCTTAATGTGATGTTTTCCAGGTTCATTTATGTCGTAGCATGTATCAGTACTTCATTCCTTTTTATGGCTGAGTAATATCCCACTGTAGGGATTTGCCACATTTTATTTACCCTTTCATCAGCTGATGGACATTTGGGTTGTTTTCACTTTCAGGCTATTATGAATAATTATACTGTGAACCTCTGTGAACAAGTTTTGTGTGGACATGTGTTTTTAACTCTCTTGTGGACAGTGTTTTCATACATTATCTAGGAGTTGGGGAATTGCTGGGTCATATGCTGACTTTTGCAGAACTGCCAAATTGTTTTCACCATTGCTGACACCGTTTTACACCCCCACCAGCGAATGTGTGACTGTTCTAATTTCTCTACATCCTCCCCAACACTTGTTATTGCCTCTTTTATGACAGCATCCTGATGGGTGCAGAATGGTATTACAATTGTGATGTTGATTCTTTTTTTTCGTAACGCCAATGATGTTAAGCACCTTTTCACGTGCTTATTAGCTAATCATATATCTTCTTTGGAGAAATGTCTATTTAGAGTTTCACTCATTTTTAAATTGGGTTATTTGTCTTTCTATTCTTGGCCTATAATAATTGTTTTTATATTCTGGATCCCACACTCTTATGATATATAAGATTTACAAACATTTTCTCCCACTCCGTGGGTTGACTTTCTTTCTTACACTTTCTTCATAGTATACTTCGATGTGCAAAGCTTATTAATTTTGACAAAGTCTAATTTTTCTATCTTTTTCTTTATTTAGTTGTGCTTTTGGTGCCACATCTAATGAATCATTGCTTAAACCAAGGTCACAAAAATTCACATCTATGTTTTCTTCGAGGTCGTACTTCATACCTCTACATATGGATATCCAGTTGTCCCAGCACCATCTGTTGACAAGACTACTCTTTGCCCCACCAAATTGTCTTGGCACTCGAGATGAGTATTTGTTGATCATAAATGTGAGGACTCATTTCTAGACTCTTCATTCTATACCATTGTCCATACACCTATCCTTACGCAAACACCACTCTGTCTTGATTACTGTAGCAATTTTCAAACCACGCATGTGAGTCCTCCTACTTTGTTCCTTATCAAGATTGTTTTGGCTACTCTGAGTTTCTTGCATTTTCACATGAATCTTAGGACCCGTTTCTCAATTTCTGCAAAAAGAAAGGCAGCTGGGATCTGACAGGGATTGCATTGAATCTGCACACCTATCTACTGGCCCACTCTTTGTCAAGTGATAAACCAACACCCCAAAAGTGGAGCTCCTCCAACAAACTTCCAAACCCCTGTGTTGCTCCTACTATTCCATAGTATGGTGCGGGGGTGGGGGTGGGGTGGGGAGGGTAGCTGGGGGGGGGCCTTGAATGATGTTGTAATCAAATTTTGCTTCTCAAAGAATGATTCCATATACCCTCATATCTTCTGCAACCAATGTAGCTCACTATCATTTTTCTTTCTCATTGACTCTGACTCTGCAATCTCTAGTGCACTGAATGCATGCTAAGCTGGAAGGTCCAGAACCTGCCAAAGAACTGGCCAAGATCACATTGAGGCGTGGCGGTACAGGGAGTCTCCCATCTGTGGCTTTCCTTGCTTCTTCCCCATCTCCCAGAGTGGAGTGATGCTAACAAGTGACCAGGAAATGTGCAGACACCTCTGGGGAGGGCTAGTGATCCTCAGATCTGCTGTCATGAGCGCTGGTGGCTTCTGAGGGGTCTAGAGGGCTTCAGCACCCACCAAGATAGCTGCAAAGAGGCTTTTGTTGTTTCCATTTTATTTCCTACCAGTCCACAGGAGGAAAAAGTTAAGCAGGGTTTGGTCCATTTTAAGTTTGTTTCCCATACAATTTTCTCAAACTTTTGGCATCTCCTACCACATTTATCTGCTGGCAAGAACTTGCAGGCAACCAAAAGGAGTAAAGCGTTCAAGGAAAATCCGAGGGGAGACGGCTGGTTATGTACTCCCCGACTGCTGGCTTTGTCACAGATTTAAATATGGCTGTGGCTCAGAATTTCTATTGGAGAGTGAAACGCTGCTGAAAGAATTAAAGAAACTTGGTATTTCTTAGCTTCTGCAAAGAGCATCATGAACCTCTGAACACACCTGGAAGATGCCTTAGCTCCTGCCACCCACGAGGGCAGCACTAGCACTGATCTGTTTATAACAGCAAAATAGAAAAAGGAAAACACCTTAAATGCCCAGTAATATAAGGGATTGATTATATAACTTTTATATATAATCATTTGTCTATTATAGTGCTATTAAAAATGATAATGCATATGTGTGTATATTGTTGCATAAATTGCAATGTGTGCATTATTGCATAAAGACATTTGATATATATCATGTTAAATGGAAATGCCAAGTTATTAAAAAAAAAACGGAATCTATCAGTAGATCTCAGTTGGTAAAAATCCAGCATCTCTCTCTCTTTAGATATATTGGCATGGAGGAGAGATGTACATTGAGGTATAATAATCATTGTCTGGGCAACAGCATGTTGAATAATTTTAAATTTTTTCTGTTTGCTTATCTACATTTTCCAGTTAGTTGTCAATGATCTCGTAGAGGTGGTTAGGGGAAGACCACCCAAAATGCAGCCAATGAGACTCAAGAACCAGACTGTCTTAGCAGAGCAGAAAGATCATCTGCACCATTGACCCTAGTGAAGGAGAAACTACTCACTTATCCAACAGGTTCTCCCTTGGAATCCGAACCTTGTCAAATATTAAAATCCCATTATCCACACCTTGCAGACCTGGAAAGAACAGAAAGGGGGAAATCCATGCAGCATCCGAAATAGTGTCCCTGCTACTTCCCAGACCTGTCTCCACTAAAATGCAGAGCCCTTTATTTTACTTCCAGAATTGTTGATGCTTTTTTATTGGGGCAGGGGGTAGGGATGTTGTTTGTGTGTTTCCTGTGCCTGTTTCTTCAGCCCACCTCGCCCACTCCTCCCTGACGAGAATGGAGAAGAATGTGCTTTTCCTTCTGGGCAGCCTGCATGCTCCGGGGATCTGGTGGGGGCACCCCTGCTCCGGAGCAGCGGCTGTGACTAAGAAAGAGTTCTAAGCAACTGAAAGGATGGGAGGCTGAAGACAGAAGGCAGGAAAGCCAACTTGGTCTCCCTAGGAATGCAGAGCCCGAGTCCCTCCCCAGTCCCTGAGCCAGTGCTCCCTGCTCAGCACACAGGGCGAGCTGGTAAGAGCAAATGCCCCCAAGACCAGGGAAAATGGGCACAAGGACAGCAGCAGTGGGGGAAGGGAAGGGGGAATCCCGAAATCTGCCAGACCCGTTACCTAAAGATACCTGTCAAAGTCTGGGGTCTACTCTTTGTTCAGGAACACTTAGGGAGGTTCAATCTAAGGGGGGGGGTGGAATCTGTCTTTTTTTGTTTTTTTTTTTTTTTTGAGTCAGAGTCTCACTCTGTTGCCCAGACTAGAGTACCTGCCTAGCTCATAACAACCTCATACTCCTGGGCGCAAGCGATCCTCCTGCCTCAGCCTCCCGAGTAGCTGGGACTACAGGCATTTGCCACCACCCCTGGCTAATTTTTTGTATATATATTTTTAGTTGGTCAATTAATTTCTTTCTATTTATAGTAGAGGTGGGGTCTCGCTCTTGCTCAGGCTGGTTTCAAACACCTGACCTCGAGCAATCTGCCCGCCTCGGCCTCCCAGAGTGTTAGGATTACAGGCATGAGCCACTGCACCCAGCCGAAATCTGCCTTTAGTAAATGTCTTTCTGTAGAACATCCCCCCTTGACAAGGACACAGTTGCACTTAGGAGCTCACGAGGACACCAAAGCAGACTTTCCGCCGTTGCCAGTGTTTTAGGTGCCTGGCACAACTTCACAGAGCTCAGCCTGCCCCTCTGCTCTCAGTGACACTTGACAGGAGAGGCGCTTTCACGGGGCCAGCCCAGCCAGGAACTCATCGCTCCTGGGAGATGCATTTAAAATCCCTGCAGACCCACCTGCAGCCACAGTGGTGATCAGTAACCACTGAGGGGCTGGGATGAGACCACCCCCTCCACCAGATGACTGGCTTCTCCTTCCCTCTTCTCTTCCCACTCTTTCTTCTCTCCTTTTTTCCTTGTCTCCCAGCTCCCTTCTTTGGCTTGGCTTGACCTTGGCCAATGAGGGCCACTGAGGGCCATGGGCATGGCCTAATCTCACTGAGTGTTATGGCTTAAATTGTGTCCTCCCCAAATTCATATGTCGGAGTCCTAACCCCTACAACTGAGTATGTGACCTTATTTGGAGACAGAGTCTTTACAGAGGTAACCAAGTTAACCTTATAAGACACGGAAATAGGGAGGCAGACACGTATGCAAGGAGAACACCAGGTCACCGTGAAGGTGACAATTTATAAGCCATGGGGAGAGTCCCGGGCAGATCCTTCCCTCACTACCCTTGGGAGGAGCCAACCCTGCCAGTATCTTGATCTCGGACTCCCAGCCTCCAGAACTGTGAGACAATAACTTTTTGTTGTTGAAGCCACCCAGTTAGTGGTATGGCAACCCTAGCAAACCAACGCACTGAGTCAACCCTTAGCACTCATAAAGGGCCTCAAGAGCACAGAGCCCAGGCTGGAAGCCAAGGGCCACTGAGGACAGGGCTGCAGCTGCCCTCTGAGAGCCCACCAGTCTGAGAAGGACAGAAAACACAGAGCAGCGTTCAGGGCAAAACTGCCGCATTACTAGGACATTTAAGCATCGGGGAGAAAATGAGACCAACGCACATTCACGAATGGCAACCTGGGACATCCTCTAACAGGCCCACATAAAGACTCTTAAAGAGGCTCCAAAGTCAGAGTCCTCGCTAGGGGAAGTCATCTCTTCCTGCGTTGTCCCCGTGACGTGAGTTAGGTCAGGCTCTCCCTGGGCGGGGTGGGAGCAGGTGGGAGGTGTGAATGAGCCCAGGAGGGGGCCCACCTAGAGACCCACCTTCTTTGTACATCATATCAACAGCTGTCACTCCTGGGTACAAGTTTCCGTTTTCATCCCGGACAGGAACGATGAAACAGTGTGGCCCTAAGGAAGGCATAGAGATCGCCAGTGAGCTGTCCTTTCTAACGACAGGAATGAAGCTTTCTTCATTTCTTGGAACAGAATAAAATTATTTTGATCCCCAAATTCATTCAGGTCCACAACCGTGCAATGCATGTAATAGTGCGTGATGTCAAAATGTAATGATAAATTTTACCAACATGTATATTTAGGAGATAAAGTTAGTACTGAATTTTCTATAAGATAAAAGCAGCCCTGCGTAGCGGGTTTCCACTGGAAAACAGTACCAGGGAAGAGCATGATCCTGGCGGTCTGTGTCGGTGACAAACCTTGGGACCTTCCATTTACGATGAGCTGGGCGAAGACCGCGGCGTAATTCCCGTGCATGGCGTTGCCGATGTACATCTTCTCGGCGTTCTCGCACGGCGTGTCAATGACGAACTCCTGCACAGAAACAGCAGAGCAACAGAGTGTTTCTGTCCCTACCGCTCATTTCAACTGCCTGGCTCACGCAGGGAACGCTGTGAAAGCAGACCCACACGGTGCAGGACGCCGTTTGCAGGTGATTTCACAGCAAAGAGGAGGCAAAGGAAAGGTCACGTGGCTCCACCTGCTGACGCCAGCCCTGCCGTGTGCTATCACCTCTGTGCACGAGTCCCCTCCACCTCAACTCCGAACATGAGTGGACACTAAAGTGAGTTTTTTCAAGGAAAAATCCAATCAGAGGAATAAGTTGCCAATTTTCAATCGTTCCAAGGTGTTTGTTCACTCTTTCCCGTCTCTCCTCTTTGGAACGGGAGGCTGACGTGGGTGCTGTTTGGCTGCACCCGCCCAGGTTTAATGTGTGCAGTCTTTCTTCAAGTACCAACTTCTTTCTCTCTGACTATTTCACACTGAGGTTTTGACTTTTAAATAATCCAACAGCAAAATCGCTGAAAGCCCTGGTGGCACCTACTCAGTTCTCCACACACCCCTCGCCCCCAAACACCCGACCTGCGAGGTTCTCAGGGAAAGATGGAACATCCAATGGTCTCAGCCCCTAGATGAATTGTTCCAGGGTCCACATTCGTGTGCTTCATTTTGTCTGCTAGTGTTTGCCCCTCCTGGGCAAGTCACTTGGTTCCTCAAGGCCTTTGCCGTTTCCTGGGCCCTGACATCCCTACCTCCATGACACGGGTCTGTTGAAACAGCCACTAAGCAATCTGAGGCCAAAACTGGATGCCTGGATGCAGCAAGACTAATAGGCCACCGTGACCCCTTCCTGTCATTGCTTAGAATATCAGCCCAAACAATTTTGGTTTTTATGAAAAGAAATCGGTCATTTAAGCCTTCGGATGATTGCTTCAGAACCTGCCTCTCCATTTTCCTGATCAATGAATGTAATAATTAAAGGTTTCCCCAAAAGGTTCACATGTCCAAGCTCTTAAAACAAAAGTGCTTGTAAATGAGTATCTATCGTAGGAGGGGACAATCTCAGAATGTGCCATGCAGTTTGTCTCTAAATCTGTCCAAGGATTCCCGCTCAAAACAGTCTGAAACTAACACTGGTCACAAAGAAGCAGGAAGAACATGCAGGGGTTTTTGTTTTCAGTCTCTGTTCAAAACTCTGTCTACTGTTTCCTACTCTCTGGAAGCCAGTATCAGGGTCACATTGGAAATGTTCCCCTTCACTTCTTGGCCCTCCCCAGTCTCGCTTGACACCAGGGTTCCCTTTAAACCCATTGCCAAGGAGGGACTGACCATGCTGCCAGCTCTGAATACAGGGTCCCCGGGACAACTCAGAGCCCAGGGGAAATGGCGGAGTTGAAATGCAAATTTAATTGGAGTTGACACTATTGAAGATGTGGCTGAGCTAAACCAACAAGCTATTGATCACACAAAGATTATCTCAGATTTCAGACTATAAAGCATATAGACAATACTTTCCCTCTGGCCAAAAAATACAGTCTTGAAGCCTAAGAAAACATTCTTTGACATATGTTTGCACAAAGAAACTTTTAACATGTGCAAGGGCTTTTCAGAAACATAAATGGACAAGCTGAATCTTTTTAAGAAAAGTCTCTGGAGGCTGCCCTTGTCTTATCGGGCCAGCCAGGACTTCTCAAGGAAAGGAGTTATTTGAGGTTGGGTGCAGTAAAAAACAACAACAACACAGCCCATGAGGGTGGGGAATGCTTGCACCTGGGGGTGGGGGGTGAGGAGCAGGAAGGGACATGGCTGAGGGAACACTGGCCTGGCAGAAAAGATCTGGTGGGCCGGGGAGGGGGCGGGAAGCCATCCGTCCCCCGTAAACATCTGCTATGCCCTGGGAAAGGAGGTTTGTCACTTCTGGCAAAACGCTTGATTTGGAAAGTTTGCATCAGCCAAAACCCTGGAGTTAAAGCTGGCTCTACATAACGCACACCATGTGTGTCGGTTACTAGAAGAGTCATTTGTTGGAGGCCAGCAAAATGGTCAGTGCTGTAAGTGCTAGAAAAGATGGCTTTAGCCAGAGAGCTTCTAACCTCATTTATTTTTGCTATTTAGCATAAAGTGTAACAATAAAACTCTCTCTTACCTCCAAACTATCCATAACACTACCCTATCCACTCCCCCCCAAAAATAAATACAAAACAACCAACCAGCAGGAATGAATAACCAAAAGAAATGTAAGAGATCCAAACAGTCCTTGAGGGAGCGGACCCTCATTTAATATGCTCTAACAGTTTAAAAGGGAAATGAAGGGGAAAGCAGAGCCCACTGAAGGGAGAAGCCCCTCCCCTGCTATGTCAATTCTCACTCCCACCCCCCGAGGGGCAGAGGGCTCACCAGGGGCTCCCGTCATTATGAATTCAACTTGGCAACTCCCTGCCAGCCCGTGGCAGCTGCTGAGGCGCACCAGGTAGCTAAATCATTTATGCTGTTTGGGGAGAATGGGACCAACACCGGAAATTATTTTTGTGGAAAAAAAATAATAATTGTAAGAAGAAACAAATAAATAAGAATTGCAGGTGGGTTTTTTTCCCCCCTATCAATGACAGCAAGGTGACCTCAATATCGTGGCTGGCTTGGGGAGAGAAAAAAATCAGCCAGCCAAAACCCAAAAGATGCTAGGCCAGCACGCCCACCAGCGGGAAAGCCAGGCTGCTAAGTAAAAAACCACCAGCACCGAACACAGACTCGCTTATTAACTGGGTAGCCAGAGTCTGTTTCTTAGCCTCTGTGAGCCTCAGTTTCCCCATCTGTAAAGTAGGGACAATAATACCTTTCTATAAGACTATGGAACACTTGACAAAATGTTGCGTGCAGAGGGCTTAGCCTGGTGCCCGGGGTATATCTGTGCTCGGTTAACGGGAAAGGCTGACCGTCCTGTTTACGGGATTGTTGTTGGGGGAAACACAGACACTGCACAGAGGGAGTTTGACACACAGCATGGCACACAGTGGGGGTCAAGAAACAGCAGTGCTTATACTTGTTCTCACTGTGACCTTGGACATCCCCGGCTGCCTCAGAGAACTGACGCCAGGACAAGAGGGAAAGCAGAGCATCCTCTAGCACGACCCTCCCCTGACTCCGTCATTCTGAACTCCGACCACCGCCAACCCGCATTCAAGGGGCAGGAAAGCCTACTGACAAAAACCCAGACTCTAAAGGACAAACTCAGGGAAAGTGAACAGACGAGCAGCCACTCGGCCACCCAGCGCCCACTCCCACACTCAGGCACGTGCTGACACACACGGGTTTGTTTACAAAGCCTCATTTCCAGCAAGCACTTCGAAACGTCTTTATCCCTTTGTCGCTCTTAGGAATACCCAGCATCAGGCAAGAAACTATAAAGGGGAGCGACATAAGTGAAGAGTTGCGTTCTTTGTGCAGGAGGGTGTGGGGGTTGGAGTGACGGCGGCAGTAAGGGCCACAGGGCATGGTGCTCACAGCGCAGGTTGTCGCCCGCCGCGAAGAGAGAGATCAATTCCAAGAGACTTGACCAACATCCTGTTAATTAGTAAGACGGGAAGGGAAAGGAAGAAAAACAAGGAGAAGAAAAAGAAAGAGAAGGAAAGAGAAAAAAAAAAGGAATGGGGAGGAAAAAGTATCAGAAAAGGGAACAAGAAAAAGTAAGATCGGTGACGCTCTTGTTTCAGTTGTCATGTAAAAGGTCAGTGCGGGTCACCATCGGAACCCTGCATGACACGGTACAGAGGAGTTGGCTTGTGACAAGGAAGCCCCAGGCCAGACAGGGCCCTCCCGCCACACAGCACAGTGCAGGGTGCCTTCCGCTCCTTCACCTGCTACCACTAGGACGGACAACAAAATGGCTTCAGTATTGTTCTCACGCCGTCATGACAAGGGATTAAATCAATGAGCACACGTACAGTGCTCAGAGCACATCACGGGCACTTTATAACTGCTGGCTGGCGCTGGACTCACGAAGGCTGAGCACGCACACACCTCGACTAAATCACCCAGACGCTTGCTCCGCATCTGAGCTCCCCGGGACAGAGAGCACACACAGAGGGCGTGATGCTGAAGGACAGCCTGGCCCTGTGCGTTTCCTGCTGCCCTGAACAGACGGTGGGGGGAGGGACAGATCCTCACCTGTGCAGAGAGGTCAAAGGTGGCTTCCGTCTGGATCCCTCTCACGTTGCTCCCGTGGCCCCTCTCGGTCATCGCAAACATCCCCGTGTATTTCTGCTCCTGGAGTTCACCAGATGTGAGAAGGAATTAGCCGGTCAGATGGGTGCTCTAACCACAGACCTCTCAGCCCATTAAGAATGGTGGTGAGAGAGGGTGATTTGGAGATAACTATAAAAAATTCAGTCTGATGACAAGCTCATGGGATGCTAAGGATGTTTCAGGCTCTCCCCGTAGAAGGCATCTATTGAGGGACGCGCCATACCTGGAGTGGCCGGAACCACTTAGTAACATGTCCGGGGCTTCCGAGATTCCTGACAGCACCACCGAATAGCCAATAGATTATTCCACACTGGAAACAAGCACAACACAAACCGTCATTAGCAACAGCCAACAATTAAATGGCAATTAAATCCACCGGCCGAACTCCATTCAAGGAGCATCTATAATATTTGGGCCGCTCAGCTTCACCTAAGTCCCCCAGTGGCGAGCTTCCTCCTCCTTCCCCTGCACCGCCTGGCGCTCCACCTCCTCTCTGCACACAAGGCTCACGGGTCACTCTCTCGGAGAGGCCACCCAGCCCCTCAGGAAGTCAGTCCTCCACCCTCAGGGCTGCCCCGTCCACCCCATCAAATGACCGCTCTGACACTCGTTCTGCCTGTGTCCGGGGACCGAGCTGAGCGCCTGGCATGTGGCAGCCCTGCAGCAAGGCATGTGTGCTGTGATTCCAGGCGCTGGGATCTGCCAGGGCGGCCTGCCCTGAGGAGCAGCCAGCAAGCAGGTCGGGGGAAGGGGCGACGCCGCAGAACGAGCAGCACGCAGCCTGGGAGGAGGCGGCCTGGGCTCCAGTCCCGCTTCAGCCCCCGCTGGCTGTGGATCCTGGACAAACGGCACAGCAGCCTCAGCTTCCCCATCTGACAAATGGAGCCAATGAGGCGCGCCCGCTTACTGATCCACACACACAAGCTCGTCGGTGCAGCCCTGTGACGGAAACACCATCGCCCCTGCTGAACAGCTGAGGGTGCGGGGCCAGAGAGGGAAAGCGCCTCGCCCAGGGCCACAACCCGAGAAAGTGGCAAGGGCTGGGCCTCCAACCCAAGCTGCCCACACCCAGCGGTGCTCCGTAAGGTTGCCGTGAGGGTCCACTGAGGGTCGACTGCCGGGAACTCCACCTAGTCTGTAAACTCTGGACAAGTGTTGCTGACAGGGAGGAAGAGGAGGAGGAAAAAGACGAGGAGGGGGAAGAGGCGGAAGGGTGGCTTGAGCAGGGCCATTCGGAAGGGGCAGGGTGACTGACTGCAGAGACTAAAGAACTTGAGCGTGCTGTGTGTGCAGGTCAGCATTTGCTCCCTTCCTGACCACACAGCCCCAGTTTTCCTCCTCCCTGCACCTTTCCTCCCCTAGAGTCAGTCTAAGTGGTTTGTGGGTGATGTCGACCCCATCCCCGGCTTTAGGATAAGTCTGGGCCCCAGGACTGGCTGATCTATGTGGCATCATCCCCCTGGCCATAAGGATGGCTCCGGGAACGGACCTGTGATCTGGGTGGGTCCAAAGGGGCGGCTGGAACACGTGGGTGAGCTACTGCAGAAGGGAAGGGCTCCTTTTCGATGCAGTGGAGCATGCATGTGGCCAGCAGCCACACGGCCACGAGCTGGTGAACGAGGCCGATGCACGGGGCCAGGTCGGGGGGAAGCGGCGGAGCCCCGAGATGAGAGACACGGTCCCGCACACCCACCCCTGAAGCCCGCCACACCCCGGACCCCTAAGTTAAAGCAGCCAATAAGTGCGGTTTTAGCTTAGGCAAGGTTGGACTGGACTGTTTTCCTGGGGTGACTGCATCTAGAGGAGCCCGCTGGCCCCCACATGCACAATCCATCTGGGACTGACTTCGTGAAACGGCACCTGATGCGCTCCAACAGCCCTGAGCAGCCAAACGCTCTGACGTCGGGACGGACGAATTTCACTAATCACATCTGACATATGAAGTGCTTTTCACTTGTCTAATCACCAAGCATCCTGGGAAGATGTTTCATGCCCCGATGACTCAGCCCGCTTCCCCACAGAATCATCGCGGGCACTGCAAGCCGCGTTACTAATTCCAACACGGGAATGGAAGCAGTCCAACTAGTACATGTTTTTTCCCTAAACCATCTTGGAAGTCAAGTGAAAAAAAAAATATTTTTCTAACACTAAAACAAGTTGGATTCTCCACCCCTAAATCTCTTTGGCTGGTGGTTAATGTAGTCTTGACAATATATTCCTTTCCTAGATTTTAAATCCTTTCCTCCTCTTTAGGAAGGGGGAAAAAGACCTACAGTGTTTTATCCATATTTTGAAAGCCGCTGTTCACTAAATGTATTAGCAGGAGCCCTGGGCTGTGAGTGTGAACTTGTAGGTTTGCAGAAAACTGCAACAGTTAACAGAGGAAGTGTCTGGGTGACCCCAACTGACACAGGTCAAATGTGGGGTTCTTCTCCCACAAAAGCCACACTCGCTGAGTGGCAGGTAATCCGACAAAGCTGGGCCGAGTGCAAGAAGAGCTCCCGGGGGCTCTAAGCAGATGACTCCCTGGCCTGACACGCTTTCAGCAGGTGCTTCCTGGGAGGGGCGGGGACCCCAGCTAAGCTGGCAGGAGGGAGGCAGGCAGGGGAGAGAAGTAGAGGGACACCGGGTAGATTCTGGAAAAGAGCCGATGGGGTATTGGGGAGGAGAGGGAAAAAGAGGACCCAGCAGACACCTGGGTCTGTGGCCTGAGTCTCTAGGTGGCAGGGCGTCTTGGAGGGGAGCTGGGAGGAGCCAGGAGGAGGGACTGGTGTGTGAAGACAGAGACGCTGAGCCCGATAGGAGATGGGCACCACCCCGTTCTGAGGGAGCAGTGCAAAGAGTCCCCTGAGACGGCACCGTGTCCACTGCTGCCACGCCTGCCCGGTGTCCTGAACGGGACACAGAGAGGTCCATTTGCTCCTGGGAAAGGCAATGGCAAGGAAATAAAAAAAGAGCAGGGGAAATCTACCACAAACTCCAACTTCAAACACACGCCCACTTTGTCTTGCTTGTCTGGGGAAGGCCCCTCTCCTTTCTCACTCCTCTGGAGAAGAAAAAGCAAAGCTACAACATCGGGTGTGCAAAGTGATGACCACAACTCACCCAGCAAGGGCTGGCAGCAGCTCCAGGGGCCCCGGCTAGAGATACCTAAGGGCTGGGAGGTGCAGCCAGGACAGGCCACAGGGGCCAAAGGATGGAGCCCTGGCAGGGCCTCTTAGCTTTCAGATGATGGCTGTAAGGAGACACCCCAAAGTGGGAGTGAAATCTGATCGGCTAGACCTGGGAACATAGGTTGGTTTCACGTCCATCCACCAAAGGAGCTACTAGCTAGAAGACTCTTGGGAGAGGGCCCTGCCCATGTCCCAGCGGGTTACAGTCCCCACCACCCACTGACCTCCTGCTACATGCCAGGATTAGCACAGGGCTCCTTGTTATGAATGTAAGTCTGCACACAGCCTATGAATGGGCATTGGCAATGCCCTCTTTACAGAAGGGAAAACTAAAGTATAGATGTACAAAGAGATGTGCCAGAACCATGACTGGGAAGTCCTAGAGACAGAATGTGAGCCCACATCGTTCTGACTGTGCCCCTGCCACGGTGGACCAGCGAGGTCGGTCCTGCGAGCAGGAAGTCTGCCGGTGCCTCGGCTTCGATAGAACAGGCCCTTCTACACAACAGCCCAGCAGAGCGTCTCCTAAAGAATCTTCAAGTGCACTCAGGATCTTTTCATTCCAAGAGAAAATGGGATATAAGTGGTTTTTGAGACAATGGTGACCTCAGAAATGGACTCAGAATTGTGCCCCCCCCCAAAATTCATATGTTGAAGCCCTAACCCCCAATGTGATGGTATTTGGAGATGGGGACTTTGGGAGGTAATTAGGGTTAGATGAGTTTATAAGGGTGTGGCCCTCATGATGACATTAGTGCCCTTTTAAGATGAGGCAAAGAGGCCAGCACCTCTGCACAAGGGGAGGACGTGGCAAGAAGGCAGCCGTCTGCAAGCCAGGAAAAGAGTCCTCACCAGAACCTGGCCATGCTGATACCCTGATCTTAGACTTCCCAGCCTCCAGAAATGTAGGAAAATAAACTTCTGTTGTTTAAGCCACCCAGTCTGTGGTATTTTGTTACAGCAACCCAAGAAGGCTAAGACAGACGGTAAGATGATTCAAATGAAGAAAAAGAAAACAGCTGTGGGGAAGGAGAAAAGGAAGCACACTGTGGTTTTTTTCAGCATTAGCTTCCTTCCAGATTGCATCCTCATTTTTGGCAGAAGACTTGAGCTAGAGTGGGGATTCAAAGCCCCATAAAAGAGAATCCTTTTTCCTGGCACCTCTCTGGTGTGCCCACCCCTGCCACTGTGATATGTGCTCAGAACCAGCCCCCAGGCCTGCCAGCGCCTGGCTGTGTGAGTCAAATGCATTTGTCCAAAGCACTCAAGGAAATGCAAAGCTCCTGGATAAACATATCCCCGGTGGGAGAGAGAGAAAGGGACTGGACCTGCAGGGCAACACATTGATGCTGACGTCCCCTCCTCAGGTTGGCAGCCAGCTCCTGCAAAAGGCAGGGGCCACCAGCTGCTCTTGGGCTAGCAGTGGGATCTGGGGGCCGCTGACCAACTCAGCATTCACAGGAACTATTCCCAGCACGCCACATGCCCTCTTGGACATCCCCCTCCACCACCAACAGAAAAGACAGCCACAGCCCTCCCAGCCAGACTCAGGGGCACAGTGCCTCTAACTGCCTAGGATTTCCAAGCTCAGGAAAAAAAAAAAAAAAGAATCTCCCACAAAGACTGATGAGTGGGAAAACAAACAGAGTTAATAATAATTTTTAATTGGCATTTTTACTGGGGTAAAATACACATAGCATAAAGTCTGCCATTGTAGCCATTTTAAGTGTATAGTCCAGTGGCATTTAATCCGGTCACAATGTTGTGCGACCATCACTACTATTTCCAAAAATTTTCATCATCCCAAATAGAAACTCTTCACCCATTAAGCAATAACTTCCAATTCTTCCCTCCCTCTAGCCTCTAGTAACCTCTAATCTACCTTCTGTCTCTATGATTTGCTTATTCTAGATATTTCATATAAGTGGACTCATATAATATTTGTCCTTTTGTGTCTGGTTTATTTTACTTAGCATTATGTTTTCAAGGTTCATCCACACTGTAGCATGAGTCAGAACTTCATTCCTTCTCATGGCTGAATAGTATTCCACTGTGTGTATATATACCGCATTTTGTTTATCCATTCATCTGTCCCTGGACACTTGGTTTGTTTCCACCTTTTAGCTCTTGTGAATAATACTGCAATGAACATTGGCATACAAGTATCTTCTTGAGCCCCCACTTTCAATTCTTTGGGGTACATGCCTAGTTTGTGGAATGCTAGGTCATAATAGTAATTCTATGTTTAACCTTCTGGGAAACCGTCATATGGTTTCGGTTCTATGTGTTTATTAAATACTCACATATTGACACCTGCTATGTACCAAGAATGTAGGAGTGATAATTTTCAAGGAGTTGACCTCTAGTGGTGCTAAGAGACATGAAGTAATCATATGAATAAATATATAGATTCAAAATGGGAACATGCAATGACAGGAAACTATAAGGAACAAGGACAGATGGCAATGAGTAGATGGGATTTAAATTGCAAGTTTAGGAGGGGCTTCTTTGAGGGAGGGACATTTCTCCTGGGATCTGAAGAATAAACAGGTGTCAGCCAGGTGACACAGGGGAAAGATCAGTCTAGAGTGGGTGGCAAGAGCGGTTCAAAAGTGGGCAAAAGGAACCAGAAGGAGGCCTAGGGAGCAGAGGAAAGAGGAACAGCATGTGTTTGGAGAGGTGAACAGGGCCACACTCTGCAAGGACTCATGGGCCACATCAAGGATTGGAGGGTTCTTCTAAAGCACAATGGGAAGGAAGGGGTTTTAAGCAGGAGAGTGACATGATCAGAGGAGCATTTTAAAAAGCCATTTCTTTAAATCTATTCCAGCTTCCTTCTAGAATATGCAGGCATAAAATCTTTAAAAAAAAATTATGTGAAATTTTAAACAAAACAGAAGGGTACGATGAACTCAAGGATGAGCAGCTCCCAGTCCACTGTGGTTCGTCTCCCCCGACCCCCACACACTTTCCCCTCCTACACCCTGGGTCATCCTGACGTCCATCCCAGACGTCACACCATGTCTTCCCTAAATATTTCTTACACATCTGAAAAGATAAAGACTCTTTTTTAAAAGCATAACCCTAAAACCATTATCCCACCTAAATATATAATAATCATTCTCTAATATCGTCAAATGTCCAATGTTCAGATCTCCCCAGCTGACATAATTTTTCTTTACAAACAGTTTGTTGTTTGAATCAAGATCTAAATAAGACACACACATTGCAATTGGTTGAAATGCTTCCTAAGTCCGCTTTAAACCACAGGCTGCCCCTCCCTCATCCATTCAAACATTCCCTGTGCAGCTCCATGCACTAGCCTCAGTGCAAGACCCTGGAGACCACAGGAGAAGGCTCCCTGCTCAGAGCCCTGTCACCCCTTGCAGATGTCCCCATGGCAACAACCCATGGAACCTTTCTAAAGAGAAGGCAGGTGGTGGTGGGAAGAACATTATAGTAAAAGCACAAACTGGGGGTCGTAACTGGGGACCAGGATTCTCCAGCATTTCTGAGAGGGGCTGTATTTGTTGGATCTCAGCTGACTGTTCTTCTCCCTAAAAGCCACAGCCAGGCCATGCATGAGGGAAGAGGCCCTGCCTGGCTGAAATCTCAGGAAGGCCAGTCTTCCTGGAAGGACCTGATGGTGGATGCCCTCACTACAGGATGGCATGCACAGATTTCTTTAAGTCCTGCTCATGGAAAACATCTGCACCAAACAGAAATAACCACCATCTTTGGACTCACCACCAGTGACCTGGCTTCCTGTCTGATCATTCTGTCTTAACATTCTAGTTGTAATTTCTCCCCTTTTGGGGACATCAGGACTGAGTGTTAGAATATGAGGAATTGTTTGAGACCCAGTGGTGGCCAGGGAGGAAAGGAGGACATATGCAGGGCACAAATGACTGTCTACTGGGAGGCTTAGGGAACCAGGAGAGGGTGCGGCAGTCATGCCCATCTGAGCTGTTCCACTCACTACCCTTGGGGAGCTGGGACATGCAAAGCAAGACCATGATGGGTTGTCATTTTATACCCATTTGATTGTCAAAAATAGAGACATCTACAAATTCCAAGTGTGGGTCAGGATGTGAATTCACAGGGTGTAAGTACATGCTGTTGGTGAGAATGTGAATTGAAGTAATAACTTTGGAGAACAAACTGACACTAGCCTTTAAAGTTTAGCATTCATTTATCCTATAAGTAGCAATTCCATTCCTAGTTGAACACCTAAGGGAAGATTTTACCCATATTCAACACCAGACATGGACAAGAGTATTCATAGCCACATTTTTCACATTAGCAAAGACCTAGAAACAACACGAGAAAGTGGACGAACAAAAGCTGTGGAATAGTCACACAAAGGAATATTATGCAGTGGTCAAAAATGAATGAACTTCCGTTTCTGTGCCCTTCCAAAAATGACAAAACTATACAGATGGAGAACAGATTAGTGGTTGCCAAAGGACAGGGGTGGGGTTGGATGCAACTGACAAGAACTAGGTAGCACCATGAAGTTGCTTTTTGATGGTGGAACAGCTCTATATCTGCATTGTGGTGGTGGTTATATGAATCGATATGTGGGGTCAAACTGCGCACACACACACACACACACACACACACACACCTATGTGCATGTAAAAACCAGTGAAATCTGAATAAGGTCTGTATCCTATCTGACAGTGCTGTACTAATGTCAGTTTCCCGGTTTTATATTGCATTACTGCTATATACGATGTCGCCACTAGGGGAGAACAGGTAGAGGTCACATGACTCTATGTGCTATTCTCTTGACTTTTTGTGAGCATTATTATTTCAAAATATAAAGGTTTTTTTAAAAAAATAAATAAATAAATAAATAATGAATACAGTGACATGCAACAGTATGGATCAATCTTGGCAACAATATTTAAGTAAAGAAAGTAAATCAAATGATTATGATACTATTTTTATAAAATTAAGATAAGTGATAATAATCGATTGATACAAATGTAATAAAGCTATACAAAAAATAAAAGCAAAGCAAAATCAAAAACAGGATTGGATATAATGGTTAAAGGGGAAGTCAGGGCTGGGTTGTGAGTGTACCATTTTACCTACACCTACTGCAGAAACCAGACTGAGCTCCCAGGGGCAGAGTTCCCACTCCTTGCCATGGAAGCAAGCATGGGGTCGTGCAGACGGCTGCCCGGCGCCCTCACCTTCACTCCTGTGGCCATGTCCGCGATGGAGAGGACTTCTCCTATCACGAGGCTTCGGCTGACAAAATTCTTTGTTTTCTCTGCCTGAAAACACGACAGACCCAATGTCAAGGTTTCCTTGTGGTTTTCTGACCTTTCAAATTCACAGTTTTTAGAATAAAGGCATGTTAACTTTTGTCATTAAAAAAACACAATAAAAACAATTTTCAAATTAAAAAATAATCCCATCACTCTACAAAAATAAACATTTTCATCTTTTTTTCAATGTGTTCTTCTGATCTCTGACCACATGTACATAGTGTTTAAAGACGCTTAGACAACAGAAAGTCAACCGCTTCCACATGGAGGCCAAGGCAGTTGTTGCTCAGGCCTTGCTTTGCCTTCACGAGGTTTGTCCCTCGTGGCTCGCCGGCCTTCCCTCTGCAGCCCTGGCGCCCCACGGTTCTGCCTCACTCCTCAGATGGGCGCCACGGCCCGCAGCCTCTCTGCACTGACACCCGACCAACAGGAACACCTGGCTCAAGTGCCAGCAACATCTTGATGTGAGCCCAGAAGATTGTGGAGGTCTGGGAGCATTTTGGACACAGAAAAAGCAATATTCTTCATTTTCCTTTCTAACCATTTCAGGACTTAAAAATCACAAGACTGCAGTTCCCACTTCTCACTCAACGTACACGACAGCAACAAATCCCAGAGCTACGTGAGCACACTCTCCTCCACCAGTGAGAAATGAGACAAGGCAACGACACTGTCACTGTTTCATTTAAAAAATGCAGAAGTAGTGGCATTTCCTTAGAAGGAAATGGGCCCTTGCATGGGCAAATGCAATTACCCATTATTGGAATTAATGCTCATTGTCCTCATTTGCTGGTCTCTTCTGAGACCTGGCCAAGAAAACTGGTGTTTGTTACCCACGTGTGTATGTGTGTGTGCATGTGTCTGTGTGTACATGTGTCCCTGTGTGTTTGTGTGTATATGTGTGTGCCTGTGTGTTTGCGTGTGTGCATGTACACCTGCGTATGTGTCCATGTGTGTGTGGGGGGGTGTGCACATGTGTATGTGTGTGTATGAGAGTGTGTGTGTGTCTGTGTGTGCATGTACACCTGCGTATGTGTCCATGTGTGTGTAGGGGGGTGTGCACATGTGTATGTGTGTGTACGAGAGTGTGTGTGTGTCTGTGTGTGTATGCTGCCCTGCCAGCGGCAGGATGATAGCCGACCTTCCTTGGATGACTTTCAGTTTCCACGCTGGCTTAAGCTCTCTCCCCAAACACACTCTCTATTTTCCCCTCCTGTAGATTTTTACAATGTTGCTCTCAAGTGTTATTAATTTTATCAAACAGCAGGCTGTCAAGATTTATGACTCTTATCATGGCTCCAACCCAGTGCATCTTGTATTGATTATTTCCTAAAATATCTACAGGCTTGAGTATGAACCATTGCATGACTCCGGCTTCAGATCACTCTGGAGAGTGAGTTACCAGCAAATAAGAAGAAAACCAACTGTAGCAGATATTCGCAGACATTTTTTGGAGAGCCCAAGTGTCCTTGTTGCACAAATCCTCACAACAACCCTCCCAAGGCTAAGCATGACAGGAAGGACTGACCCCACGTAACAGGCTCAGGGAGGTCAAGTGACTTGTCCAACCAGAGTCACCTGGTAAGTGGCAGAGCAAGGATCAGAAACCAGATCTTCAAGTTCCTCATCTGGACACCCTGCCACTGCCCTCACTGCTGGAGGACACTCGGGACTCCAGTGGCCCAGCCTCCATCACCGACCCACCCCTATTCTGCACCACCAGCCTTGTCCCCAGAAACCACCTGGCATCAACCTGTCACTGTGCCCTCAGGTCATCTTCCTGAGAGCCACCCTATCCAGAATCACCACAACAAACCCTTCCTCACCTGAATCCACCTGCTCTGCTTCAGCCAAACCTAAACCGTCAGGAGTAAGTATATCTTTCAGAGTTTCCAACTGTTCACAGTTTTCTTCATATTTCGTTTTCTTTCCGTATATTGTCGATGCAGGAATATGATTTTATCATTAGTGGTATCCAAGTATGGTCACTTTTACTCACCAGTTTGAAATAAATTGCAAGCACATTTGCTGAAGAATCAACCACAAATGTAGCCATCTTGGAGCATTATAAATTGTTTATGACAATTACTTCCCTTCCCCGTCTTTGCACGAGACAGCAACCTTTGCTATTAGGCCTGATGGGAAACGTCGGTTGGAGTGTGCCATTCATTCTCCGATGTGGACGTAAGCGTGCATTTGGACTGGTCCATTTCAAGAGGCCAAACCAAAGTTCCAGAACTGAGATTGGGCTTAATATGAATGTCTTATTGGTGTATATTTTTAACATCTTCTTCATACATAAATTCTCTCTTTTCTTCAATTCTTCTTTCATTTCTGATTGGTTAATTGTTCTTAATTAAAGAATGTTTCTCTTCTTATTGAATTGGCAGCACTAACTGAATTGTCTATACCGACAAATCAGTCAACAATCAACACGTATTGTTCTGCATGCATTTTTGTAGCATCTCTATTGTATCAGTAGCTGTCTTCACGTACACTTGATATATCCAAACCAAACTCCAGCTCCTTATCGGCATATAAATTTGTGGTAATAGTAAATGATAATAATCCCATAAATGCATGGATAATATACCCAAGTTTAACCAAAATTACAGCCCATGCTCTTTCTATTGCTACTTAATAAATTCCGTCTCAAACAGAAGGTAGTTTTTCCTAAAACAAGTCCTTTTCTTTGTAAAGCACTTGATGTTGCAGAACTTTGTGATGTAATATTCTGTTACAAATCTGCAAAATGTGTATTTTTTGTTTCATAAGCCCAGAGAGTCTCTAAAAGACATTATATATATATATGATACTTCCTCAGATAAAAGCAGCATGATTCAGAGCTGGTTGGGTGTGCGCAGCCCGAGCTGCCTTTCCTCTGATGTTAAAAGACCCACATGGCCTCCTTTGCAACCCATCGGCAGCCCCGGTCAGGTGCCCAGCCATGGGGCAGAAAGAGGTTCTGATCTCTGTTTTTTTAATAGCAGTCCCCAAACTGGCATACTTGCTTCTTCTATCATCTGGTTCCAATTTTCAGTTATGTCTTCTCAGCCTTATTGAATACATGTCCTTTGTTCTAATTAACTCCAAGTTATTTTAGAAAGAGAAAGGGTCAGAGTGAAATGCACAAATAAATGGGCTTCAAAGATTCCGTTGTCTGAGCCTCTAAGCAAGACTCTTGCCTGCTGGGCTAACCAGCCCCGCCCTCTCTCCAAAAGCCCCCAAGTCTGGCCACTTCTTCCATCTCCCACCACTCTCTCATGCCTGGACTATTGTCACAGCCTCCCAACTGGCCTGCTGTGTCCACCCTGCCCCAAACTTCAGGCACTATAATCTTTTTATGATTTATTATGAAAGTAAAATTTACATCCAGTGAAATACACAGAGCTTAAGCACATGAGTTCTGGTCATCTACCTGCATAACCATCCTGCCCATCAAGAGCACAGACATTCCAGTCCCGGCAGTGAGAGCCCTCATGCCCCTCTGCAGTGAGTGCCCGCCCCGACAGGCAACCACTTTCCTCTTTGTTTGTTTTTTTTGTTTGTTTGTTTTTTTGTTTGTTTGTTTTTTTTTTTTTTTTGAGACAGAGTCTCACTTTGTTGCCCAGGCTAGAGTGAGTGCCGTGGCGTCAGCCTAGCTCACAGCAACCTCAAACTCCTGGGCTCGAGCGATCCTTCTGCCTCAGCCTCCCGAGTAGCTGGGACTACAGGCATGAGCCACCATGCCCGGCTAATTTTTTATATATATATATCAGTTGGCCAATTAATTTCTTTCTATTTATTGTAGAGACGGGGTCTCGCTCTTGCTCAGGCTGGTTTTGAACTCCTGACCTTGAGCAATCCGCCCGCCTCGGCCTCCCAAGAGCTAGGATTACAGGCGTGAGCCACCGCGCCCGGCCTCACTTTCCTCTTTGTATCACTGTCCACTCGCTTTGCCTGTTCTGGAACTTTACAAGTAGAAGAACACAGCATATCCTCTTTGGGGTCTGCCTTTTTTCATGCAAATAAGGCCTCCATGTTGTCGTATATATGCATAGTTCATTTTTTATGAGTAGTTTCCATCTATTACTATCCCATCATTTGTCTAATCCGTTATTGTTGAACATTTGCATTGTTTCCCATGTGTGATTCCTATGAACCAAGTTGATATAAACATTTGTGCACAAGTCTTTTTGTGGACATGTGTCCATTTCTCTTCTGTGAATCCTCAGGAATGCAACTGTGGGGTTAGAGCATAGGTTTAGTCTTATGAGGTAACAGCCAGTTTGTGAAAGCGTTTGTACCATTTTACACTCCTACCAACGATGTATGAGAGTTCTAGTTTCTCCACAGCCACACCGGCACTGTCAGTCTTTGCCACTTTTAGCTATCCTGAAGGAGTGTAATGGTTTCTCATTATGGCATAAAGGTGCATTTCTCAGATGACTAGAGATGACAAGCACGTTTTCATATGATTATTGGCCATTTGTACATCTCTATTCAAGTCTTTTGCCCCATTTTAAAAACAGAGTGGCCTTTTTATTATTGAGTTCTAGGAATTCTTTATATAGTCTGGATACAAATCCTTTGTATCTGGACACAAGTGTTTGTCAGATACATGCATTGCAGATATTTTTCCTTAGTTTGTGGATTGCCATTTGTATTCTCTTAATGATGTCTTTTGACGAACAGCAGTTTTTAATTTTAATGAAGACCAATTTATCAGTGATCTGGGGGGTCCTCTCTAAGAAACCTCTGCCTATCCTAAAGTCTATAGGACATTCTCCTCTGTTATTCTACAAACTCTGTAATGTTAGAGTTTATGTTTAGGTGTGTATACACCTCAAATTATTTCTGTGTATAGTGTGAGGTAGGAAGCAAGGTTAACTTTTTCCCTAAATGTTTATCTAGTTGTTCCAGCACATTTGTTGCAAAGACATTTTTCCCCCTGGAATTGTCTTGGCAACATTCTCCAAAATATCAATTGGTCATATATATGTGGGTTTCTTTCAGGACTCTCCGTT